CAAGAAACTTGCGGAAATCTCGCGGCTCGTCGAGCATTACAGTCAGCGCCGTCAACAACACCAATAGAACGAGCAACGTAACGCCGAGAACCAAGAACGCTGAGAAAACAGATAATCACAGCCACCATCTGGCTCACCAACAGATCATCACCCGCAACTCAATCCGTAAAGTTGCCGGATACCTAAAACGGGCCTTTTAATGGCCGATAACAAACGTGTACTGTCCCCCCAAGCGCGCCTGCCTAGGCCACGCTTCCCGTCCGGAGCTATAGATCGACGCCACTTATTCGAGCGGGCCCCTTCATTGTTCAATTAAACCTATACCCAACTTTGTAAGGACCGCCGCGCATCCATACACAACCTTATCGGTGAGGGAGCGCGAGCCGTCCACTCCCCTTATATTGTATATAAATATTTCCTTATCATAGAAATAAACCAGCAGATGATACCATAAAGGCATTTGTATACTTTATTTGAAGTAACGGATGTTCGCATCCGGTGACTCCGTTACAATATCTGCACAAAATATTTTAAAAATGTGGGATCCAAAATTCAAAAATCAGAAACATCACAGTAAATTAGTTCTTACATACAATGTATAGTATATATTTTTATTCAATAAACTTGAAAGTAAAGGGCATGTATTGTAAATTTTATTGATTAGATACATCATACATGCAATTATATTGAATACTAAAAAAAAATGAGTTAAATTGATTTATTAGATTTAAAACATTTTTTTTACCTATAAACAATTAAAAATCTAATACTGTTCGTATAAAAAAATTGACGACTAATTTTAGCTACACAATCTTGCTTTATTTCTTTATGTAAACACAAAAAAATTTTTTTTAATCAACCGTTTTTTTACCGTTATTGAATTATGTCTTAAAGTGGATTTTAAATTAGCACCTATATATAATAATTTATCGTTATAAAAGTAATACGTGGTTTATTAATTGGCATTTTGAAATTTGATGAACAATTTTTTTTAATACCTACTATTTTTTGGTGGTTAAAAAATCGAATACGAAGTAGATATTTAAAAACTTTTTGAACGTCATAATGTCCTTTAGTTTTTCCTCAGAATTTATTGATAAAATTTAATTAGTATGATATGATAAAAAATATTCACAAATAAATAAAGACTGGAGAATTATTGTTTTTAGTTAAATTGATTATAATATTAATTATTAATGCATAGTGGATTAACAGACCTAAGACTGTTTTCTTATACACTCCAATACAAAATCACTTATTACAAGTAAAAAGGATTGTTTATTACTTGTCTACGTGACTAATGATGCAGTTATATACAATTGAATTATTATTGTCATGTCAAGTTTTTTTTCATATATATATATATACAATGTTAAAACTTTTTATACTGCTTTCTGGGACTAGTATTATGTGATATGCACTGTTAGACAATAAAATACCTCAAAACGTCCCATTTATAAACGGAAATTGTGTATACATGTCTAGCAATTTTTCATTTTTTCTCCATTGTAGGTATTCATTTAATCTCAAATATTTTTAATATTTTTAGGTTTTATTATATTTAACGTAGTTTTCTTAAGTTATAGTAACCTAGCCTTGTTAACATATTATCTTATTATAGTTTAAAGTGTACCTACCAACCTATCTACTATTTTTAGTGCTTTTATTGAAATTACAATGTGAAAAATAGTTTTTATTGAAACTATGTTAATACAACTTATTTTGTTCCTCGAAATTTAAAATTTAACAATTAACACTATTTACTTTAGTTAATATCTTATAGTGATTAGTGATGTGATTTTTTAATACCTATACTCACTTAGGATCTATTTGATAAGAGTAGCGTTTGATAATGACTGACTGAATACATAGTTACATCTATAATGTATTTATTAAGATTTGAGATAGTATATTATGACCTAATATAATATTTGGGTTTGGACATTAAAATAAATAATAATAATAATATTCAAGTTTCTTATAATTTTTATCAATCAGTTTCTGATCGCCTGAATTAATATATATATAAATTAGTTTTTTTAAAAATCGATTTAGATGTGGAGTCTATAAAATATATACCTAAACCAAAATAATTATAATATAAATTTAAAGTACCTATAGGTACTAGGTAGTCATAGTTTAATGTACAAATCCATAAGTACCTATTAATTGTTTTTACATTATTAAATACATAAATACTATTTTTAAATACTAAAAATATAACTGCTTTTTAGTCACAATTATGTTGTGTTAGTTATGGTTTGAATTGTATAGTGCATTTCRTCAAAAAATATATTTTATTCGTATTATACCTATCCCAGAGGTACCCAAATTTAGTTTTTGTATACCATTCATGTTTATTAAGAAACAGTCTCGTAYCACTAGTTAATATAATATAATTGATAAAATAAAAATACATTTATATTTAAATAATAAAGTAGAAAAACAATTTTTTTTTGACGAAGAGGAGCCGTATTAGGAATGCTTATCGTCAAAGTAAAAAATTACCTACATTTTAGGTTTTTAAATATTATCCACATTCCACGTCTTTGCGAGTTGTGTGTCAACAATTTCGGTTTATTAGTGTATTTTCTGTGTTCGGAAATAATAATAAATACATAACCATGGAAGTATTACATGAAATAATATAAAATCTCCCTCCCCACAAACATCCATAAATAATGAACTGATATATTTTCTATACCGTCGTGTTATTCATGCTGTATTTAATGAACCACCATATGCAATGGCATATTAAATGCGCTCCACAATTTGAGAACCTATATATTATATATGCGTTATTTTTTTATATTATATATTTGCATTTAAATAACTGCAGAATAAATCATATAATTACCATTAAGTGGTTACTATTCATCATAATATATATATAACGTAATTAAACTAACGAAATATCATAGTATATACATAATAACACGTGTTCTAGAACACTGCAAATTGTGTATAGGAGGTACCAGTGCTATAAACAACGAACGGAATGAACGGATTAATCCATTTTGCTACTAACGATCCTGTGGAATCCGAGTTAAAAAACAYAAACGTCTGCTGTAATAATAATACTAATGATAACAACAACAGTAATAATAATAATAATAATGTTAACAATTATAATGCTATAGGCGACGGTGTGTAATATTTCCAGTCGTATTATTACAGCATACAAAAAGGTCGTGCCGTGCGTCCTGTAGTCGCCTCTGCTGCGTTTT